TTGTAACTTTTTTTAATCCTAAAGCAGTTAAGTTTTACAATAAACAGTTGCTAATAAAACTAAAATATTGTTCTGCCATGGGGCTGTGGTTCTGAGAGAATGCTAAGATAAAATTAAGACTGAGGATATTAAAAAAGCTCTTAGAACCACAAAAACAAAGACAATTGGCCTTGTGAGTTTTACACATGATCCTATCAAGCACCACCTATCAGTCACAGCTAAGTGCATAGAAGGGTACAGGTACGTGTACAATTTTATTTTTGGGATATTCACCTGGTTCAAAAGTCAAAATGGTGTATAATAAAGTCTCTTTCCCATCTCTTGTAGTCACCTAGTTCTCAAAGTTACTAGAGGTATTTTCTGTATATAAAAGTATAAATAGTTTTCATACATCCCCCTTTACCATGGACGATAGCTCACCACACATTTTGTTCTGCCCCTGAATGCCAGTGTTTTATATATGTTTATGCATCTACATAGACTATAGAGTATCTTCAGGAAAATATCACAATAAAATGTTGTACTTAAAATTTTCATCTATCGGTAATTTTATTTTGTTCTTTTTTCTCTCAAATTAACCTTTATTCTAGATTTATTACTAGAAGCATAAAGAAAAAGGGATGAAATAGTCCACTTTAGAGATGGAAGGGCCAGAGATGTCAGGACCAACAGGATTCTCTGGACAGCTAGAGACCTCCTCAGCATCACTGTGACTGGATCTATGCTGCAGTGGTTCTAAGAATAGAGACCATCTGGGAGGGCAGAGACAGCCTAGGCTGTGTTGGACAGTTGCGTTGTTCTTCACCTGGTTATGTTTTGGGGACTAACAGAAAGAATCATGTGGTACTTTGCCCCAGCAAAGCCCCTGAGACCTAAATGTAAAGTGTCTTTAAGTGATGCTGAGTAAACTCACAAGAATTCTCAGGATTTAATAAATAGAAGACAGTGAATGGGAGGCTTTGTAAATGGTAAGATGTTGTAGAGGTGTACTGTATCAGAGTAAATTTGAGCCGTTACCTGCAGCTGATGAGCTCCAAAAAGAGCGAAACCTATTAGGTCCTGCAGTACTGGCTTAAGAGAATATAAAACCTTAACTACGTTCCACTTGTGTTTTATTTTGTCATATTTGTATCATAGTTTGGAGGGAGGAGAGTAACTCCTATTTAGTCTTCTGCTAGTATATTTCCTTTCTAATTCATTCTCAGAAGTCACCTGAATGAGATCATCCCAAAAGGGAAATCTAATCAAGTCAGATTAGGTTGTGACCCAGTCTAATCTTAAATGGCCATGGTTTTCCCCATGTGTGAGCTTATCTACTCTCATAGCTTTAATTGTCCCTATATGATGATAACTTCAGAATCTTCTGAGCTCCTGAACCATTATTGGGTATGTGTTTTTTTGTTTTTTTTTTTTTTGGAGACAAGTTGTCTGTTGCCCAAGCTAGAATCCTGTAGCATCGTCATAGCTCACAGCAACCTCAAACTCCTGGGCTCAAGTGATCCTCCTCCTTCAGCTTCCAGAGTAGCTAGGACTACAGGTGTGCACTACTATGCCGGGCTGATTATTTTGATTTTTGTAGAGATGGAGTTTCATTATCTTGCTCAGGCTGAGGATACATGTACTCATAATGTTCCATTGGAACAGCAACCACCTAAACCAATTAATTGATTTCAAATTAACCAAATTAACTGTTACTTTTCGTGCCTTTTCTATCTCCCCTTCCCTCCTCCTTACCTTTGCATAACACCACACATACACATGTATACCCTGAAACAAAGCTTGTCATTTTTCTTGCATTTCTTGCTTATTTATACCAGTACAGTCCTCCCAAACACATAAACTGCCTGAGATGTGCCTGCCTTCTCTACTTTTTCTCTTTTCATCACCTCTCACAAATTGCTATCAAGCCCTGTAGATTTGCCTCTAAATATATTTTATATCATTCCTCTTTCCAGAGCCTCAGTAATTGCCTTCTCCTCAGGCCTTTGTACTACTTCTCTGGACTGCTGCAATAGTTGCCAAACTAGCTTTCCTGTCTCATTTCTCCTCTATTAACTCTTTTTTTGCAGTTTTTGGCCAGGGCTGGGTTTGAACCCACTACCTCTGGCATATGGGGCCAGCGCCTTACTCCTTTGAGCCACAGGTGCCGCCCTCTACTAGCTCTTTAAAAGACCAAATTTGATCATGTCACCTCTTTCCTTAAACCCTTCAGTTACTCTGTAGGATATAGTTATGCTCCTCAGCCTGCTATCCCATGCTTTTCTCAATCTAACCTCTGGCTCTTTCCTCCTTTATGCTTCAGTAGCATGCTGCTTATAATTTCCCAGATTGATTATTTTGTTTTGCTAGCAGTAGTTGTACAATCTGTTCTACCTGGAATTCCCTCTTTTTGAATCCATCCTGACACACTCCCATCTAGTACTATACTGAGCTGGCATCTACCAGCTAGGGAGTACTCTTTATTAAATATTCAGCAATTTTGCAAGTCAGTTTGTAATTTAACCAGCCATGGATGGAGTTATTTACACTGTGAACATCAGTAAGTACTACAAATCAGGACTCAGGAAAGCTTTCCCAGCATATCACTATTCCCATCCAATAGTTTTTTGTTTTGTTTTGTTTTTTGAGACAGTCTCAGTCTGTCTCCCTGGGTTGAGGGCTATGGCGTCATCATAGCTCACAACAACCTCTTAGGCTCAAAGGATCCTCTTGCCTCACCCTCCCAAGAAGCTGGGACTGCAGGTGTCCACCCCCACGCCCAGCTAATGTTTCTGTTTTTGGTAGAGATAGGGGTCTGGCTCTTGCTCAGGCTGGTCTAGAATTCCTGAGCTCAAGCAATCCACCTGCCTGGGCCTCCCAGAGTAGGATTATAGGCATGAGCCACCATACCCACCCTACGCGTCTCTTTTTTAATGATAACATCTGAGTTGCTGAGACAGAGTCTATACAATTGTCTTGGTATCTGTCATTCATTCTCTCAAATTCAGTGAACTGATAACATACTGAACCAATATACTTAATGTGTATCAGGCACTGTTCTCGGGGTAGAAAGATGAAAAGATTTAGTCACTGTCTGCAAGAAGCTCATAGTCTAGTCCAGGGGAAGAGAGAAATTCAAATAATCCATTACAATACAATGAGACAAATACATTGCTAGAAGTCAGTACAAGAGACATTGGAACCTGAAGGAAAAACACCCTGTCCAGGGAAATGGGGAAGTCTTCAGAGAGCAGGTAAGACTTAAAGGATAAACAGAAACTTGTTGCCTTTAACTAGATGCTATAGTCAGTACTTTTATAGATAGAAAATTTTTTATAGAATTTTTCCCATTTACAAGTTTTATTCAGAATACCAGTTATTGGAAACCCTATGTAAATATCTAGAAATTAAGCACTCTTTGGATGAGTAGAGAAAGTGCTGAGTACTATGTCTTGTTATCAAAATAATGCATAGTAAATCATCCCCAAATCCATAGCCTAGAACAGTAATAATTTATTATTTCTCACACATATAAGAGCCAGCTAGGCAGTTCTGATCTGGCCAAGCTCAGCTGCTTTCACATGGGCTCACTGATCTGCAGTCCGCTGGCAGGTCAGCCTGGGACTGGCTGACTTAGGATGACTTTGGCTAAGTCAGCTCAGCTCTTCTCCATGTGTCTTTTCCCATCCTGGTGTCAGACTAGCTCAGGTAGGCTGCCATGGTGGTAGCAGGGGTCCAAGAGAGGAAGTGGAAACACCAAAGTGTATGTTCAGGCAGTACCTAATTCTAGCTGGCTAATGTCCTCTATCCAAAGCCAGTCACATGGCTAAGTCCAGAGTTAGCAAGAAATAGACACAAGAAAATGTGAAAAATTGGGACCATTACCTACCACAGTTGGCCCACTGCACACATATATTCTGCGTTGGGCTCTCTGCTAGACCTTGTGTTACTCTGCAAATGTTACTTGCCGGACAACCACTAAGCCATCAAATACGTTTATTCAGGCGTAAGGTAAGAAAAGCTAAAACAGTGAGAATTGCATTTTTCCCGTCAAAGGGGACTGGAAAGTTGGTAGCAGACTATTTTTATGTTAATTTAGATCATTTTGTGAGTGTCCCGAGACTGGTGAACCCAAATAGAGGGCTGTCTATAATGGGTAGCTGAAAAATCAAACTAAAACAAGGAAACATGGGTAGAGAGAAATACAAAGAACATTAAGAATATTTACTTTTTACTTTTATGTTTTTTAAGGAAATCTCTAGGAGAAAGAATTCATACTGGGTGAATTCATTAGCCTTTCTCTGAGGTCTGGAGGGGTTTTTTTGTTTGTTTTGTTTTACTTTAAATGGACTGATCAAGTGTGACTGATTCCTACAATGGAATATTATAAACTACAGTTTCATACAACTACATGGATGGATCTTTGAAGCTAGGTTTTAAAGGTCGGTAAAGCTGAGCATTTAACAAGTCTATCATCTAGCTGGCTTATGATTTAGCTCTAATTGAAAGCCAAAATCATCTCACTTCAACAATAAGGGTGTACTTGATTACCTTTCACATTTTATTTATGCCCATATTATTTCTTTTAAGAATTCATTCTCATCTAATTGTGATTACTATTAATCCTGCCTGACAAACTCACTATCCAAATGGGCTTTTTACTATCAGGAGTTTTTCATTTTTGTCTTGTTTTTTCTTATTTTCCTTACAATAACTTTAATACAGGGTATTTAGTCATTGTTTTCTGAACAGCTATCTAAGAGCTAGAGAAACACTAATTATAGTCTCAGACTCTGCTTTTCACTCTTTCCCCTCTTGAGGAAAGGTTTCTCATCTTTAAAATGTTGATCCCCAGTATGTGTTGACATTCTGGTAAATGGGGGAAATCATTTTCATTTCTTCTATATTTTCAATCTGGGACTTGAAGAATTAGTTTGATATCCTGATTTCCATGTAACCTAAAAGTATAATAAAATTAGAGACTGGTTGTTAATTTCTGTTTGTTTTTCTTTAATTTACAGAATGCTCTTTTCAGTTGCATTAGCAGAAATGAAAGTAAGTATATTTTCAATGA